GAGCCGCGCGCCCAGGCCGAGCCCGAGACGGGGTCGCAGGTGTGGCCTCCGCTCAGAGCGAGCTGGCCCAGGCCCAGGATGCCACAGCAGTGACAGGGGCCGCGGGAGGACAGCAGGCTGCCCTGGGCTCAGGGACCCCGGCGAGGGCCCCAGGCCAGGCCGGGCTGGAACCGCAGCTGCCACGGCCATGCCTGACAAGCCCAGCCCCCAGCACGGAAAACCACCTACGCGACCGGATTTCAGCCCAGCTTCCCAGAGCCCGCACGATGCTTTGTTTGCTCAGGGATGTGAGCACTGGGTGTGGGGACCTGCGGTGGCAATGACAGTGACCTCTGCGCAGGGGAGGGCCCGCGAACGGGTAGTCTGGGGGCTTCTGCAGCCCCCAGAACTCGGGGAACCCTCAGCGTCTAGACGGCTCTTGAGCAGAAGCGACGTACACGTGGCAGGGACACCGCCCGCCCTGGCCGGGGACCGATTCTGAAGACGTTCGTCCCGAGGAGGGCAGCTCCAGGGCCTGCAGTCACTGGGGTCCCGGCCCCCTTTCCCTGACCCAGGGGAGAGACGGGAGCCGATCCAGGAGGTGCCCTGGGCCGGTCTGGCGGTGACGGAGCCCAGGTGCGCACGTCGTACCGGTCCCCTCGGTCCCCTCGCCGTGTGGGCGAGGCCCAGGCACAGGTGGCCTCTTGCTCACCCGGCCACGGCAGAGCTGCCTGCCCGGGGCTCGGCCGGACACAGGACCTGCCGCCCCTGTCCCCCGAGACCCTGCTCACTTGTTGTAGAGGACGATGTCCGGCCGCCAGATGAGCTCCGAAGGGATTCTGATGGAGGTGACATTCTCGTAGTCACCCGGGTCCCAGCGCAGCTTGTAGTCATGCCACTCCTGGGCGGGGGGGAGAGCCACAGCTGAGAGGGGGAGGGGGGCAGGGCGGGGGAGCAGCGGAGGGCCCCTCCCACTCACCTGCTTCACCCACACGTTCGTGGTCATCATCTGGTTCTTCTCGTCCTAGGACACAGATGAGAAGGGAGGTTGTGACCCCCTCGCTCTGGCCCCGAGTGTCCCACAGGATGGGCCACTGCCGAGCACAGGGAGGGAGTGAGTGCCTCGTCTCTGGAGGCAACCAAGCCCAGGATGACAGGCCCTAAGGAGACTCAGGGGTGTGGGGACAAAGGACCCTGACCCTTTGCAGAAGAAAAGCAGGGACAAGGTTTGGCGACTTCCTAGCCACCCGGGGCCTGGCTCTCCCCGGCCACAGTGGGCGTGGGGAAGGAGGGCAGCTTGTCACCTGCATCACGCCCTCCCTGCTGGTCGGGCAGCCCCTCCGCACGGGCCCCCTCCTGCTGCCACCAAAGCCACCTTGGTATGCACGGAGCCCCACTCACTGCCCAGACTGGGGTCAGGATAGGGCCTTGTGTCCCAAAGGCACAGGCTTGGGTGCCTCCCTGTCCTGCTCCCGCAGGGGACAAGCCCCTAGTCAGCCCGCTCAGGGAGAAGAAACCACATGCCCTGAACCCCCAGGCACTGCCCTGGGTCCTGCTCTCCTGCGGGTCCACCTGGGACAGGCCATTCAGCGCACCAGGTGGGACACCGAGGAGCAGTGTGACCTCAGCAGAGGCTGGAGCTGGTGCCCGGCGGTCCCGCCCTTCTCTCCAAGGGGACAGCCTGCCCTTGCCATGGCCCATCCCCCACCCCGAGGCTGGAAGGAGCTTCAAGGTGACAGGGCCCGGCCTCCTTCTCTGCATTCATGCAGTCAGCCCAGGCCCAGGGAGCAGCGGATGCTGCGGGCTCCTCTGCAGGCGTGAAGTCACCCACGCAAGCACCCGCCTTGGGACATGGACCTACAGCAAATACCTGAGCCCCGCAAAGGGACAGGCAAAGGTGGCTCAGAGGCAGGGCAGCCCCTTCCACGCACGATGTGGCCACGGGCCTCAGACCAGTGCCCAGCACGCCGGTGAGCACGGCTCACCAGTACACGGCAGGGCCCGGGGTGCTGGTCCCATTGCTCCTGTGCTGCCCCAGGCCTGGGGTCTTGGAGCTGGGTGCTCCCTCCCAGCCTCAGCCTCTCCCGGGCAAACTAGGGAGATGGGTGGTGTGGGGAGCGAAGGGCTCAGGCAGACGGCCGGGCCGGGCCACGGTGCAGCCGACCTGGGACCTCGGGCGGCAGCCAGCGGCTGCCTCCACCAGCCGCTGCTTTGGACCGCGCTCACAGCCTCATCACTCGGGGAGCTCCGGCATCCCCCGCTGCCTCTGGCTGTGCCCCAGCCAGGAGCACTTCGCAGGACCAGTTCCAGGTCGCCTGCAGGCAGAAGCCTGGACACAGCTCAGGACAGGGTGTGCTGACCGGGTCTCCCCGCTGATGGGGCCTTTCTGTCCTTCTGAAGGTGGCCACAGCCCCTCTCACCTCCTAAAGCCCCTCAGATGTCACCCTCTCTGCCCGTGGTGGCAATGCCGAGCTCATCCTATTTCACTAAGACAGAGTGACGGCCGAGGGTGTCACCATGACAGCACCCGCCGGGCACCCAGGCCTCCACGCCCCTCACAGAGCCGACTGGATGTTGGGGTCCCCAGCAGGGGATGGGTGGGCATTAGGGGACAGCTGCAACCCTTGCAGCTCGGTCCTCGTGTGGAAAACCCAAGCCCTTCCAAGCCCAGCAGGCCGTGGCCGCCCTCCCGCTGAGTGAGCCCGCTCCCCAAGGGCCCGCCCCGCCAGGCTGGAGCCACACCTGAGGCCCTCGGGTCCCCACGCCAGGCTGCACACCCAGCACCAGTCAGATCGCCCCTGCAGGGTGGGTCCCAGCCCCTCCAGAGCACCGTCCCAGCAGCCCCCTTGTCCCTAACCAGGAAGGTAAACACTCCCCAGACCCGTCCGAGACTCACCGGGACCGGAACCGGCATTCCAGACCTGCTGGTAACGGGGAGGGGGACTCCTGGACCAGCTTGGGGTCAGGTCCTGCCCCACCTGGGGCAGAACCAGCACAGAAGGCCCCACAACCCGGCCCCAGGCCACTGCCTTTTGCTCCTGAAGGTGACAGCCCTGACCCGCAGCCGAGAACCTGGCACCCTGGTTTCCCACGCGGGGGAGGGGAGGGCCGGGCCAGAGCAGGGCACGCGGAACCCGCCTCCCCTCGGGACCCCAGCAGCAAGGCGCTGCTGCTGGGCTCGGGCGGCCCCCCCAGCTCATCCAGGGCCCCCGTCCATCTGCTGAGGCCCGGAGCTCCCGGCTCGGCAGCCCCACCTACCACGTCAATGAGCTGGGCGATGGACAGGCCGAAGTGGACGAGGACCACATCCGAGATGTTGGCCACTGGCCGGGACCACTTGTTGTAGCCAGAGAACAGCTTCTTCAGCAGCCGCTCCTCGGCGTGGGCCCGGGTCTCCACCTGGCTGCTCGCTGGGGACAGGCAGGCCGGCAGCTCAGGGGCAGGGTGCGGTGGCTCCAGGCTGTGCTCGGCCACCCAGCATCCTTCTGGCTCCTCTCGGCCCATTCCTCACCGCAGGCCCTTTGCACGTGCCGGCCTCCGCCCCGTCCTCTCCCCCACGTAAATGTCACATCCTTAGGGACCCCCAGGCCGCTCAGGCCCTCCTAGCCCTGCACCTGGCCACGGAAGTGGACAGCCGTTCCGACAGCACTGGCCTGGTTAAGTCCCTGCCCGAGGCTTTATCTGCAGCGACCAAGGCCTGAGGGGTGAACACGTGGGGGGCAGGCCCAGGAGGGAGAGGGAGGAAGGGGAGCGAGGGTCCGGCCGGCCAGAGCCTGCTTCCCATGCTTGCCAGCAGCCCCGGGTTAGTTACTTTACTGCCACCAGAAGAAGCTATTGTCCCCCGATGCCTGAGGGGCATTTTAAGTGCTAACCCTGAAAACCAGCCCAGCACCCCATGTTCTTGGATGGGCACCCAGACTGCCCTCCATGAAGGCTGGAGCGAGGCCCCGCACTGGGAAGGGGCTTTCTCACCTGCCCAGCCCCACAGCCAGTCAGCGGTCTGAAGGCCCCCTGCCTCCCCTGGCTCCGACTTGGGGGGTCTCCGGGAGAGGCTGGGGGACCTGCCCGTGGCCTGCTCCTCTCAGCCCTGCTCAACTGTGAGTCAGCCGGGGCCGGAGGCGGACTCGCACACCCTGGGGTGGGTCCTGGACCCTGACACTGCACCCCACACCCAGAGCGAGACCTTGTCTCCAGGTGCCTTTGACCAGGAAGGTGTAGCCCCCCTC